CCAGTGTATTGCCCAGCTCTAGTCGCAGCTCCAACCCCAGTAAATTGCCAAGCTCAAGCCCAAGTGAGTCCCCAAGCTCTAGTCAGTGAATCACCAGTCCAGCCCCAGTGTATTGACCAGTTCCAGCCCTAGTGCATCACCTAGCAGCAGCCCAAGTTCAGCCCCAGTGAGTCACCAAGTGCACCACCAAGCTCTAGCCAAGTGCTTTGCCCAGTGGGAGCCCAAGCCTTGGTCGAAGTACTTCACCCAACGGTAGCCCAAGTTCCAACCCAAGTACTGCACCCAGCTCAAGCCCAAGCTCCTGTGAGTCCCCAAGCTCAAGCCCGAGTGAGTCCCAAAGCTCTAGTTGCAGTGAAGCACCAGTTCCAGCCCCAGTGTATTGCCCAGCTCTAGTCCCAGCTCCAACCCCAGTGAGTTGCCCAGTGTAAACAAAGCTCCAGTCCGAGCAAGTCCCCGGCTCCAGCCCAAGTGTATCACCAAGTGGTCTCCTAGTTCCAGCCCAATCTCAAGTCCTAGTGAAAGTCCCGGCTCCTCTCCAAGTGAGTCACACCGTTTAGCCTTTTGGAATCACCAATGGGGTCCCCAGGTACTAGCCCTTCTGCTTCCCCTAGTGAGTTTCCAAGTGAGTCTCCTAGATCGAGCCCCAGTGCATCACCAAGCTCAAGGCCAAGGCCAAGCACGCCCCCCGGTGCCAGTCCCAATGTTTCTCCTAGTTCGGGCCCCAGTTCTTTGCCGAGTTGACACCCAGCTCTAGCCCCAGTGAATTACCCAGTTCCAGCCCTAGTGCATCACCTAGCAGCAGCCCAAGTTCCAGCCCCAGTGAGTCTCCAGTGCATGACCAAGCTCTAGCCCAAGTGCTTTGCCCAGTGGGAGCCCAAGTTCCAGCCGAAGTACTGATCCTAGTGCTTCACCCATTGAGTCTCCTAGTGCTTCTCCCAGTGAGAGCCCCAGTGAATCGCCAAGTGGGACCCCCAGCACTTCCCTAGTGAAAGCCCAAGTTCGTCACCCAGCAAGAGCCCCAGTCCGTCACCCATTGGAAGTGTGCTTCTCCAAGTGAGTCCCCTAGTGGTTCGCCAACACCAAGTCCATCAGAGACACCTTCTGATGCTCCCTCAAGTGTTCCTTCTCATATCCCCACCACACCACCACCCCAACCCCCAGTGAACCACCAAGCATAGTGCCTTCTGATGTGCTTTGTATGTACCCACGACGAGTCCAAGTGAGGTGCCAAGTGAGACCCCGACAAATGATCCATCACCTATTCCTTCAATCCTACCAAGTGATGTTCCTAGCACAGCACCAACTCCAATCCCAGCACCAATCCATCAGAGACCCCATCAACACCTCATCAGAAAAACCATCCAACTCCTCCACCCCCCATCAGCTCCACCATCTGATACCCCATCATCTCCACCAAGTAGACCACCTACCATCCCACCCACCCCGAAGCCTCCCACTTGTTGCCTGCCTTCCAGCAGTTGCCCCCCTTGTTGTGAGTCCTTTGACGCCTCGGCCGAAACACCAAGAGATAGACAACCGTCGAATCCTGCTCTGACAGCAAAAGAAAATGGCGGCGTACCAGCTGCAACGGCTCCTGCTACTTTGAAAGCTGCACCAGCGCCAGCACGGCCAAGAACACCAGCAACAAGAGAAACTGCTCTTGCAGACTACTCTGCAGGAGTGCAGCACTGACGGACGGACGGCAACAATGCTTTTGGAGGTGGCAACAACAGTCAAGAACTTGATGGAGGCAATGACAGCCAACACCAAACACCAGACAATGATGGCTGGGGCTGGAGCTGGATGGTACAAGGACTCACAACAAGGGGGGCAACAGCTGGAAGGCAGGCAACAGCTGGATGGCAGGCAACAGCTGGAAGGCAGGCAACTGGAAAGGCAACAAGAGGCAGGATGCAGTGGTCCAAATCAGGGAAAGCTTGTTTGGAGGCTTTCAGGATTGGGATTATGACCTCAGAGTGTTGCACTGCAGAGCCTGGAATGGGAGGAACCAGGACCACCACCACAGGAGCTCAAACTGGTACAGTACTGTTGCTGAAGGATTGCACAAGGCTTGAACCCAATCCAGTATCCAAAAGGCTACCAACCAAGTAGCGTTTGAACTGGGGATCCATTGCAGCGAGTCAACCTCAATCTCTGACACAGGTGCCTGGTCAGGTCCACACCTGTCAGGTAGCAAAGGCAGTCACTGTAATGTGTGGTGTGGAACTGTGTAGTTGGTTGGTCACCATCACCTCCTGAAGATCCCTGGACAAAAGTGTCGCGGGGCGCAAAGTCATCGGTGGGTGGAAGACTTAGAGGAAGCGGCAAAGACTTAGAGGGCAAAGCAAAAGACTTAAAAGACCCCATGCCCTTTTCAAGCATCGTATTCGCGCAAAGGACTTTTCATGCATCGACATTTAAAAAAGCGTGGATGAAAACGTGACACTGCCCAGTCACGAGATGACGTCAGTCAGATTCTGGACTTTTTAAAGCGGGGATGACGGATCCAGTCAGGAACGCAAAGACATAGGGACAACCAAAATTTCCAGGAGCAAAAGACTTAGGGGGCGATCCGTTGAAGACTTAAGGAGGCAATTCTGTTGTTGTGGTGAAAATGGCGAAATCTCGAAAACGACGAGCATGGTCCTAGAGTCGGACACACGGCGACAACAGCGGCACTTTATACTCGTAGACGTAGAGGAGTCCAGTCAGTTTATACTCGTATAGAGGAGTCGAGTCTATGACATAGAAGAGGAGAGCCATCGACCGATTCGATTCAGATCCAACGGTCATCCTCGGCCGTGAAAAGCACAACAACGAAAAGATCGATCGATCGATCGTCAACCAACGGCATACCAGGTACATCAGTATGATAGTAGCAGTAGCGTAGCTTGTAGCAGTAGCGTAGCTAGTAGCTGTAGCGAGCCGCCGTTCGCTCGAAGAAAGGTCATGGTGTCATGTCATGGTGGATGGTATCTTGTTGGAGGCAGAGTGAAGAGTGAAGCCTTCGCGAAATTGGTGCGGAATTCTCAAAATTCTTCTTCTGTCGTCTGTCCGTCTTCCGCCTTCGTTGCAAAACTCTAGGGAGTGGTTCGATCCTTTTCCACGGGCTGCTCGTGATGAACTGTCCATGTCTGATTACTTGCAACATTATTATATATTCCTCCACATGGACACGTTAGGGTCATCGTTCGTCGGAGCAGTGGATGGGGAGCGAAAACGCTTCAAGTTCACCCAAACAACCAAAATCACCGAGATGGGGTCGTTTGAAGGTTGAAGCTAGCGTTTTCTGCACGAAAGGACCGCGATTCTTCTTCATCAGCTTGATCTGCTTTCTATTAGGGTGTGTGGTGCTGCTTCGCCTCATTTCACTTCAAAGACGTTGGCTGAGCTCTGTTTCTAAAATTTTAGCCACGCCTTCCTCTCCATCGACATCGACATCCACAACACCATGATACAGAGCATGCGTCGACGAGCCGTTCTTGGTCTTGAACCTTCTCACATACATGTACATTGCATCGCTAGGGTCACGTCATTTTTTGTTCACCCCATGGAGTCATACCAGTAGACTCATAGCACAACACAAACTTGCTTCAACATCCGATGTAAGTTGATGCTGAAGCCACAACGCACCAGCGCTCTCAGACTGCAAGGTGCAAGGTGCTGCGATCCCTCAAGCTTTTGTCTTTTAAGCAATTTCTTTTAAATTTCCAGGCTTTTCGTCATGATGCGACTATTAGTCTAGTTTTCCTAGTTGTGGTCGTAGCCCTAACACTTGGATTGGGTCCCACCTTCTTTGCTGTGGACCAGCGCTTCCCTTGGATTCGTGGTGCTTCTGGTTTCAAACACTCGTCGTCGACGTATTCAGCCAAGCTTTAAGAAACTCTGCAGAGACAGAACGCAGCACTTGGGTTCGTTCGTGGCCAGGCGTCATTTTCGTCTTCATCGCAACGGGAACGAAATTGAATCAGACTACAGCCATGCAGCCATGCAGCCATGCAGCCATTCATCAAGGCCTGCAAGGCAGACCGTCATTGCCTTGTTATTTGCTGTCGATTTTGAATTGACAGAGGGCTTGGTCTCCAGCGTGGCTGGACTTGTCTCGTTGTTTGGTGTTCATCGTCTTCATGAAGAGACTGTACTTGTCTGTCGCCGTCGCGAGTAGATACGTCGTCCTCTCTATCAATGGATTTTAAAATCGTCCAAGCAACAGTGCGTACTCAATTTCCATTTCCATTTCCATTTGTTCTCCTTGACCGTTCCAGTAGAAGGCCAAACAAATCATGGTCAATCTCGACAGCGAGGTTAGTCTTGATCAGCTTGAGTGACAGTCTCGATAGTGTTGTCGTTGTGCAAACAGGAGGTCTATTGATAGCAGATCGATTTTCGATGGTTATCGCTTCTTCGTACAGGTACAAGTAGAACAATAGATCGATTTGGATATTTCATCCTTCTCCTTGGCAGTCTCGTTCCTCGGATTCTGGTGGACGGATGAGTCGATCGTCGTCGCCATCAAAGCATCGGCCATCATTGGGGAAGAACTTGTTTCATCCTTCTCCTTGGCAGTCTCGTTCCTCGGATTCTGGTGGACGGATGAGTCGATCGTCGTCGCCATCAAAGCATCGGCCATCATTGGGGAAGAACTTGTACTTGTACTGGTACCTACTATCGTCTTTTTGTTTCGTACGGTACCAGTACATGTAAGGGCCAAACAAAACAAACTGTTGTTGCAAAGTTGTCATCAAAGGATCCGCCCTCATTGGGGAAGTGCTGTCGCCAATCGGCCATCATGGCGGCGGCGGCATTAATCCTTGACCATAAATAAAAGCAAATGGGAATGGTCCAGAAATCATCTATGGTAGTCTAGCTAGCTAGCTAGTACAGCAGCGCTTTACAAGAGGCATTCTTTAGTGTGTTATTATGTGTGTGTGTGTGTGTGCTGTACTACTAAAAGAATGCTATGATACAAGTAGACTAGTGGCTTCTATATGTGGTGTATGCTATACATCGTATCCTATAGCTTTGAGTGTGTGTTTGAGCAGTATCTTCATTTCGAGTAGAACTGCTTGTTCTGCAAACTGTTGCAAAGTGTCGTCGTTCGTCGTTTGTGCGGCTGGTTGCTGTTGCTGTTGCTGTTGCTGTTGCTGCTGTAGATTAGAACAAAGTTCGTTGAGAGCTCTTGGATCCCATGCCGGGAAAGCGAGTTCTTGTTCTGCAAAGTGCGTTTGCATCCATTGTTGCAACGCTGGAGGAGAGGATGCTTGTGCTTGTGCTTGTGCTTGTGATGAGGCTGCTGACTGTTGCTGGGGATTGCTAGACATGGTTTGTGCCAAATTGAGAATGGAATTTCTGATTTCTTCGAGTGGCAGTGCTTCAGCTCCTTCCGGACTTCGTAGTGCACTGCCCGCCCAATAGTCGGCATTGTTGAATCCGGTCATTCCGAATTCCGACTCGAAGGGGCCCTCTCTTCGATGCACCAATGCGTGCACGTAGGATGCCAAAGTGAGAACTTGTTCCGGAACCACAACGGGTGGTCCGTAGGCAAATGGTAATTCGTTGGGCCAACTGAGCGGCGATACGAGATCGTGCGCTTCATCGGTTCCTCCGTGTCCCAGCAGAATGAGCGCCGCGGCACATCGAGCCAGGTATTCTTTTTCGTCGTTGTTAGTCTTGCTTCCCGCTACGATCAAGGCAATGGTTCCAACGACGTCTCGAACAAAGTCGGGCATGTTGGGCACATCTCGTCTGATCTGCACCATTTCCGGGAGTGACTTGTAGTACATGGGCGCGTAGCTTTCAGTGGACAGCGGCATTTGCATTTCACTGATAGCCTGAGCAATGCTGCTGGGAAGACTTGCAGTTGCAGCGCTGCTTGATCCCGCAGGAGTTGATGAGGCGCTCATTCTACTATTAAAATAAGCTATGGGTGATACGTGCAAGGAGCTGATCTGCTGGCTTGAAAGAAATGAGACAGGACCACAAAAATGTGAAGCGAGAAAGAACAGAGCCAATGCTGTGCTGTGTGGTACGGCGCAAGTTGTTGCAAGTTTCAAGGGAAACAAACTCAAGCAAGGGCTAGGTACTGGTAGTGATGGGTCGCTGGGACGCCTTGATTCGATTCGACTTGGTCAGCGCGTCTCTTGTTGGATAGCTACCGTAGCTAGATTCGTACAGTAGCTAGCTATATCGATAGACAGTAAGCAGTCCCGCTGATCGTGCTTCCAGGTGGCTCTTAAATTTGTATGATGCAAGATAAGAAGACTGACTGCTCTTCAGGATGCAATTGTTGTGACTGTCGCTTCGAGCAGTACTTTATCGTACTAGCTATAGTATCACTTGCTGGTGTTGTTGATTGTTTACCGAAGCACGGAACGGAAGCGATTTGTTCGATGGATCCATGTGTATCCGCGCTGTTGCGTTCGTCATGGTCGTCTTGGCAAGCAACAAACGCAAGAAAAACACACTTGATCAAAGTAGTACGTATGTCATTGTGTCGTGCAGATGTTTCGATTTTGTTCCATTGGTGGATTCAAACATGAATGCATCATCATCATGACGTCAAATTTCAAAGACCGCACATTGTCTCTGTTATTTCTATCCCTTTCCGAAACCATTGCTTCCAGGTGGAAGGCGGAGAGACAAAAGATACGTCAGGCCGGGTGTCAGGATCTTCCCACATCAACTTTCTCTCTTCCTAAATAATAATAAAACCGTGACAACAAAACAAGCACCAACAAAGACTTGGCTGCAGATAATAGCATACATAGGTGCTGCATCGTGCACTCCGTACTAAATCAAGGTCCACCACTATCATGCTTCAACGCTTGTTGTCTTGTGCTCTGCTCAGTTTGAGTCTGAGCTTGCTTGTATCTTCCAGCGATGCCTTCGTGAGTAAGCTATCTAGCCATACTAGTAGTACCGCTAGTAGTACTGGTACCGGTACATGTAGTAGCAGCGTCATTCTTCAGGATGCAGCTGAAGATTGTGCTTCAGAGGGCGTGGACATGTCAGACGTGGGATTCGTGTTGCTTGCAGGTGGAAAAGGAAGTCGTATGAAGGCGACCATGCCCAAACAATTTTTGCCGTTGCAAGGAAGACCCATCCTGCAGCATTCCGTAGAATTGTTCCTAGAAAAACTGCCTGCTTACTTGGAAGCACAAGGCAAGGAACCCAATGACTGCGTTGTCATTGTTATGGATCCAATGTACCAGCCAGAATACCAGCATCTCATTGATGCCTATCCTGACAAAAAGGTCGCCTTTGCAAATCCAGGCGCTGAACGCCAAGGCTCGGTGGAGAATGGATTAAACAAACTCACAGAATTGGGAAAGTGCAATATGAATATGCAGCCATTCATGACAGTGCCAGACCGTTGGTCACCATTCAGGAAGTTTGCAAGTCGTACAAGATGCAAAACAAGTTGGAGCGCTGTGCTGGGAGTACCTTGCAAGGCAACCATCAAGAAAGCGAAGACGGAAAAACCGTACTAAGAACCATTCCCCGTGCAAGGCTATGGGAGGTGCATACTCCGCAAGTCGTCAAAATTGAAACTCTGCTAAGAGGATTCAAAAAGGTGGAGGCAGAAAACCTGGAAGTCACAGATGATGTATCCATCGTAGAAGCACTCGGAGAACCCGTCAAGCTAACACTTGGAGAATACACAAATCTAAAAATCACTACTCCCGAAGACATGGATGTCGCTACTGCCATTCTAGAAGAAAGAAACCAAAAAGAGACCGTGGATGTCTAATTCTACTATTAATAGTAAGTCACAACCATAACATAAAATAAGAAACCATGCCTGTAGAAACCATGCCACGTGGTACTAGTATCTTCTTTTTTGGCAGACCGTGGGCTCCATACTAGTACTAGGCCGATGCAGTTTTCACTTGATCTCTCGAGTGAACCACGTATCATGGAGAAGAAGATTCGATTCAGAAGTAACAATTCGAGCCAATCGTCGGAGCATTGAATGATCCAGCTTTTGTTGCAAGATTCGTGTCCCGGTGTCTCGGTGTTCGTCTCAGCCCAAAAATGAACCTGGAACGAAACCAAGGAATGGAAAAAACCGATACCTGCTTCAATCTCCATTACGTACCGGGACAGCCAGCTACGCAGATTCATCCAAGTAAGTGCACGGCAAGCACAACACTGCACACTGCACACGAAAACAAATACTAATAGGCTGTCTGATTTGAAAATAACACAGCGCAACCAGCCGTAGCGGACTTTGCTAACTAACAGTTTGGAATACAGTGAATTTGTCCGAGTCAAGCTCCCATGACGACAAGCTGCATTTCATAACTCAAATGATCAATCTACCATGAATCAACGTATCTTCAATCATTCGAATCAATGCGAATCTACGAACTTGCGAACACTCGGGTACTGTACTGTACGGTGCCTTTACCGGTAGACTACCTGAAGAGCTCTTGAAGGTTGAAGGGACTTTAGTTTGCTTTTCAACTTTTCGGAACCTGGGTGTTGAAGTTCTCCATTTAGCCTTCTTATGCAGTGTCAGGTGCAGCTGTAGGTGTCTTCTAAATCGAATGTCTTCTAAAAGAACTCAAGACTTACTTACTACCGGTACAGCAAGTCGTTGAGATGCAAAAGACTTAGTAAGCAAAAATTTATGTAATAAGTAAGCACAAAGCAATTCATCCTTGCTTTAGTGAAGAACACTACATGTAAAAGGTGCTATTCTAGGTGAAGTGGAGTCAGAGTCCGCTCAGCCTCTTGGACTGTTCTGAAACGGTTCTTCAATCGAATGAATCAAAATTTAATTTCAATTCACTCGCGTGGTTTATGACTCTGCTAGCTGTGCATAGCTATCAGGATAGCTGTGCCCGCTGTGACCAGCTATCTATCGAAAGCCTCTACGGTAGCTACTAGTAGCCAGTAGAGTGGCCAGCCGATAGCCCGTACAAAAACATCAAGATAGTACTGGGGCCTTCGACGAGCTCAGGGGGTACTACCGGTAGTATCATACTGAACGCGGAACCACCAAACAATTTTCGCGACAAACACGCAGCAAACGAGTACTGCATCACTGCTGGATCCGCCCAGTGAGAGACAGCAGCCAAATTGGCAGGCATCACTGTTACCCATACCGTACCCGTACAGTGGCATCGTAGTTTCAGCCGAATACCGATACCGAAGAACAGAGTTGGTGAGAGAGGACGTGGCCACGATGGCTCACATGTCTGCTGCACCTCTGCCTGTCTCGCTGCATGTAGCTAGAGTTTTCCAACAGTAGCTACTACGAGTACTACCGGTACCGTACAGGTAGTGTGGCGTCCTGGCCATGTCATCTGTGCTTCTTTTTCTCTTCTCTTTCTTATTAATTAATTAAAATGTGCATTCCCACTCTACGTTCTAAGCTCGTACGAACCATCTGCAACGTGGGTATCGAGGACTTGTTTGTACTGTATCTTTTTACATGGACAAAATTGGGCATGTTTGTGGGCTCATCGTGATGAGCAGCCAAAGGCTTTGCCGTAGCCTGACTTGAGAATCGAATCGTCTTGGAACGATTGTCACTCGATTTAGAAGAACCTGGCCCTCTTGTTGGGTGGAAGGGGGGCATCAAGAGGAGTCGGACGCACACTACCGGTAGGGGCGAAGAGAACGGAGGAAACGGAAGTCCTTTTGGCAGGTCTCGAGTTCCATAGGTTGCCAGCAGCAGCAGCCATGAATTCCGCCGAAGAAGCGCGAGAGATGACAGGTTGCTCAGCCGCACTGGTCAGACTGTTGGAGGAAGTAGAAGCCAAGGCAGCGAGGTAG